AACAGTACTTGTCAATATCCTGTTTCTTTAATTTGCTTTCTATGTACCTTGTGTTTCAGTTGTCTTCTTGAATTTGAAAATCAAATAAAATTCGACAAATGTTGCTCAAGCTTTTCTGAAAAAGAGTGTGACAATCTGGGATGTTTGAAATCATCATGTGACCAGGAAATTTTGTTGATGCAGACCAAAGTGTTGGGATTTTTCCATGAAAAACTCCATTAAATGGAAGCAGTTGTTGTACGACTAAAAATGGCTTTTGTCAATATTTTCCTGATTAACAAAAAAGTAGAAATAAAAAAAAAATGTGGTCATGAAAGGTTCCTGCTATAATTGAATTTACTGTTAGTTAGTGGTTAGAAATAAGTCTCTTACTAAACAAGGGTAGACAACCATATCAGGCACTCTAGGGAAACAGACCTACAGTCTTACTCACATGTTTCTGATGACACATAAGATGAGCCATCAAGAAATTTTAAAACTGTTACTTAATATCATAAACAGTTCTGATGGCTTTAGCTCCTTGAATGTTTTCTGTGTACCAGAGGGGAGCACGCTGTTACAGGCTCAGCTATCTGATAATGATAAGCAAAGAAGATCCAACAGACTGTCCAATGGGCATTTAGAGGACTTCTGTAACTTATTCAGAGATGTCAAACCAAGTCAACTTGTTTATTTCATATCCATCTGACTGTATTAATGAACTAGATTGATTGAGAAATATTGTCGGTTTATTGAATATGTAATGTGTTCTTCCAAAAAATAAGAACAAAGTAGTTACTTTCAGATGCAGTAGTGTCTTTTTTCTGAATTGATGAATTGAGATTTCCAGAAACAGAACTTTTTCTTGTTTCTTGTTTTCTGTAGAATGCTTTCTACATTGCAAATGCTGACATTTTCAAAAGAAGCATTTTTTTATAAATAGATGTATATCAGATTTCAAATAAGGTATTTCAATTTTAATATATCGAGAAAGAAGTGGAACTTGTTACTTTAATGATCACATGCATGCACATTTAATCCTAATTTTAGTTTGAAGTGAGGATTGTGAAGTATGTCGTGCACCTGATGTTTCAGATACATTTCATTTTGTGTCAGATTCCTATCAATAAGAGCTGTTTATGTGGTGTTGATCAAATTCCTCTACATGCTGTGTATTATGCTTTATATCTCCAAATTTTGACACTTAGGAAGGTAAGTTATAATATCATATGTAGCCAAGCAACACAGGAACAATTTAATTTTCTTATAAACTATGTATGGCCTTATAATTAGGAATATATACACAATTATAAGGCTTAATTAACATCAACACAATATGAAGTAGGATATGAAACATACAAGGTGTTAGCTGTTTAAAACGGAAACTTGTTTAAATGTCGTGGAGAGTTTTGTCATTACTTACAAGAACAAAGACAGGCTGTTAAGAGACAGACTTACATTGTGGTTATAATATATACCCTTATATAATACAGTTATAAATAATTACACCAAGCTAGGTATCAATGTGGTCCATATCTAAACTGACCACTCAAGTAGCACTAAATATGATAGGGGTCAACATTGGTATGATACAGTGAACTGACTGACTTAAGAATGACCAAACAAACTGACCCGTGTTACAGTAAACTGACTGACTTAAGAATGACCAAACAAACTGACCAGTGTTACAGTAAACTGACTGACTTAAGAATGACCAAACAAACTGACCAGTGTTACAGTAAACTGACTGACCTAAGAATGACCAAACAAACTGACCAGTGTTACAGTAAACTGACTGACCTAAGAATGACCAAACAAAACTGATCTTGTTGGACTGGAATACATTAGCATTGCTTAATTATTTCTAATATAAACTTCTCTATAATATGCTATTGTTTTAAGCCAATAATAAGCCCAGGGAACCAACACATCACATCTGACAGGGGATGGGCTTATTACAGGACAGTTATATAGCATTGGCTGACACAAAAGGGGATGGACTTATCACAGGACAATTAGATAACATTGGCTGACACAAAAGGGGATGGGCTTATTACAGGACAGTTAGATAGCATTGGCTGACACAAAAGGGGATGGGTTATTACAGGACAATGAGAAAACATTGGCTGACACAAAAGGGGATGGGCTTATTACAGGACAGTTAGATAGCATCAGCTGACACAAAAGGGGATGGGCTTATCACAGGACAATTAGATAACATTGGCTGACACAAAATCAGGGGATGGGCTTATTACAGGACAATGAGATAGTATTGGCTGACACAAAATCAGGGGATGGGCTTATTGCAGGACAACGAGATAGCATCAGCTGACACAAAAGGGGATGGGTTATTACAGGACAATTAGATAACATTGACTGACACAAAAGGGGATGGGTTATTACAGGACAATGAGATAGTATTGGCTGACACAAAATCAGGGGATGGGCTTATTACTGGACAATCAGATAGTCTTTTCTTGCCATTTTACTGAACAACTATGTATGAGTAGTCTTTTTACTGGGCATAGGATTCTTTCTGAATAAATTTAGTAGTTTTACTTGTTTACTCAATTACAAATTAAGTTTATTTCTAGTACACGATCTTCACACTGGACTCAATTAGCAAACAAACAAAAAAAAATACAATTTTGACATTGGATTATGTCAGGAACATACATCATATTTACAATCAAACTTTACATTTTGATTTTCCAAGTATTTATCAAATCAGATTTTAAAGGAATTTAATGTTGATGCTTGAACTAAAGTTTTGACAACACATAGGGCAAAGGATTGCCTATGGATTTCAAATTTGGAGTACTGTGGGAATAATTCCTCTGAGTGTCCTCTTATTGAAATGCTGTAAATTTTTCACCAGTAAATTTGTAAAGCATGTGTGGTACTGTGCTTTGACAAGAAAATTTTACCAGAAATCCGGAAGACAATACACACTTATGAAGCTAATGTTGCAGCGTTGTGTGTTTATGAATTTAAAGAAACGAGGTCAGTACTGATATAAAGTCCTTAGCTGTAACTGCATCCTGACATACACAATAGAAATTTGATCTGTGATATTTCAAGCCTTTGTTTACAATCTGCTGCTGTTGTTTCAAACCCCTAACAAAACGTGTTCACCTTTGATAGTTTTACTGCCACAAAATCTAAAATAAATGGATTTGTATGGACTTTGCTCAAGTTCATGGTGTTTGTGTATACTTTGGTGTACTTTTTTCAGTATGGGAAGACTTGGGGAATTGACTAAAAAAAACTTACTGATTTTTTTTGTAAGCTGAATCATAAATGAATGTTTAAGGCCAATTTTGCCTAATGTTAGAAAAGTATTTAGTTTTTTTGAAGTTACTAGATAACTTTAAATGAATATTGATTTTGATTATTGTCTAAAGCCAATGATCATTGCTGTGTTATGTTACAGATCTCAAGAATAATGTGTCCTTGTTTGCACATTGTCTACGTTGAACCTGTGTATAGTGAACTCTGTAATTAGTTATACTATTGAGAACCTTATACAGAGGATAACACTATTTTTTAATTTGATCTTAGAACTATTCTTTATAATGGTAGCTCTGACTGAAAGTTGTCACAGGTTTGGCAATTTATCTGTAAAACTTTATATCATAATGCATCATCTCCAAATGTACAACACTAATTATAATTTACATTTCTAGTATAGAGCAGTACATGTTTGAAATGTGAATACAGTATTGTATGTAAACATACAGCTAAATCATTGTTTTTATTTACCTGTATTATCTGTAAGAGGTGTTGCAATACATGATAGTGGTCATCTCACCTGTGTGGATGTGTATATATACTTTAACCTCATTATCTGCTGTGATATATGGCACTTTATACCCGTACATCAGAGTGCACAGGTACACAAACTGACACCTGTATACACCAAGAGTGTCATCACTGACCTGTAAGGTTCAAAGCATGATCATTAATCAACAGTCAAATTACCTCCCGTTGTTAGGATGCCAACATACTTCTGGTATATCAATTATCTCCCTTTGTTTGACATATTTCCTTTGTAAATTAATATGCTGAGTATTGTTATAGGTGTGAATAAAAAACAGACAAAAAGATAGGTTGAATAGATAAGAATGAAGCGTATAGAAGAAATCTTTCACGCTTCAGTGGTTTTACAAATTCAGAAGATTACTTACTATAATAGATTTATGTATTATATGTAAATATTACAAGAATGAAAAATAATTAAGATATTTATACCTGCAAATGTACCATGTTACTTTTTTATGATATACAGCTTGTTACATTTGTTATCAGATCAATCTTTTGCTTACTATAGTGTCACAAGGCATCAATATTGATCATTATATGATCACAGGACATCAGGATGGGTGATAAATGATAGAATACTGCTGTATATAGTTACTGTAGTCTTGCTGGAGTTTACAGTGATCAGACATTTTTTTTGACCAAGTAATTCAAGCATTTTTACTCATGTTATATGCATTCAGAATTAGAATTCTGTATTTGAATTGGAAAAATCTAACTTGAATGACATCGGGGTATTTTGATTTATTGATTTGATGTTACATTAATACTGAGGTATTTTGTATGAAGATTAAAACTTGAATCAAAACTTCATGAATTAGTTTCTCTTGTCTTAAGTTATGTTGCATACAAGCAACGGAAATTTAATTACTAATTTATTGTTGCTTTGTATAACATATTTCATATGTGTTACAAAATACCTGACCTTGACCATGGCAAGCTTCTTAGCCTAATTCAAGTATCATATTAACACTCAAACAAGGAATCTGCTTTAATTATTGCTGTCTATTACAATTAACAATCGTTGTCCTAAAATAAAAATTAATTTGTATAGATATTAGCACAAAAAATCTCAGGTTAGATTTAAAGCTCGCACCAACGATTACTGGACACTAAAAATTAATACTCACTGTATGTTAATTTTGGTGCCACAGAAATGATCTCAATGATAAATGCTCAATGATATTGTTGTATGTTTGCAGGTCGAGATTTCAACATTGACCGTGAGGCCATAGAACAACTAGAGAGATACCTGACTAGCAGTGATGGAGGAATGTAAGTTAATATACTTACCAACCACTTTCTTACCGAGTTAGTCTCTGGGTTATTCTAGAAATCAAAATGCATAATATCAATTACCAGTATTGTAATTTGATAAAATATTCATAGGCTGTTTAAGAAATGGAAACCAAAAGATTTTTGTAAAAAGATTTGAATAATGGAATAGAAATCACAGAGATTACAGGATCTTAATAATAGAATAGAAACCACAGAGATTACAGGATGTTAATTATAGAATAGAAATCACAGAGATTACAGGATTTTAATTATAGAAAAGAAATCACAGAGATTACAGGATCTTAATAATAGAATAGAAACCACAGAGATTACAGGATGTTAATTATAGAATAGAAATCACAGAGATTACAGGATTTTGATACAGAATAGAAATCACAGAGATTACAGGATTTTAATTATAGAAAAGAAATCACAGAGATTACAGGATCTTAATTATAGAAAAGAAATCACAGATTTTATTTATAGAATAGAAACACAGATTACAGGATTTTAATTATAGAATAGAAATCACAGAGATTACAGGATTTTATTATAGAATAGAAATCACAGAGATTACAGGATTTTAATTATAGAATAGAAATCACAGAGATTACAGGATTTTAATTATAGAGTAGAAACCTCAGAGATTTTAGGATTTTATTTATAGAATAGAAACCACAGAGATTACAGGATTTTAATAATAGAATAGAAATCACAGAGATTACAGGATTTTAATAATAGAGTAGAAACCACAGAGATTACAGGATTTTAATTATAGAATAGAAACCACAGAGATTACAGGATTTTAATAATAGAATAGAAACCACAGAGATTACAGGATCTTAATTATAGAATAGAAATCACAGAGATTACAGGATTTTAATTATAGAATAGAAATCACAGAGATTACAGGATCTTAATTATAGAATAGAAATCACAGAGATTACAGGATTTTGATACAGAATAGAAATCACAGAGATTACAGGATTTTGATATAGAATAGAAATCACAGAGATTTCAGGATTTTAATTATAGAATAGAAATCACAGAGATTACAGGATTTTAATTATAGAATAGAAATCACAGAGATTTTATTACAGGAATTGTTCATAAATATTCTATTGTTAGAAAGTTGGTAAATGACAATTAGATCTTCTAAAGAATTCATTTATCCAGAATAAGGTAATAAATATAAAATAGAGTAAAATTTTAATGTTTTGGTTATAATAGATGCATGAAGGATTATGTTAAATACAGATTACAGAATTACAGATGATGATTATTCTGTCTTTTTTTTTTGGCTTTGATAGTAAGAAAAAGAGCAACAAAATAAATTACATATGAGAACTTAAGTAGCAGCACCATAAGATAGGCATATTCCACAAAACTTAAAGCCGATAGCTAGGTATACCACCTTAAGTAATGTCATTGAGGGTTTCCACCGTTTAACTAGACAATAGAACTGATGATGAAAACTACCTTCAGTGTTGATATTAAGGCCAAATGTGGACCTAAACAGTGAAAAATAAGGCTGTGGGATTACACATGAACGTTGGTTTATGCACAGTAAAATATGGAACTGTACATAAAATAAGTTCAGGAATTTATTGAGATTTTAATTCAGAAAGATGTAGAGAAAGCTGCTCTTCCCAAAATTGTGAAGATGAGAGGAATTTGATTCTTTGTCCTGAATCTCTCCCCCAACACTTATATCCTCGTACAAGAAACAGCATAAGATTTGCTGGTTTTGTTTGCTATATGGTTAAATTGATCATGTTAAGAAAAGCTTAGTCATAATATTGGAATGAGTGATTTCCAGAATTTACAAAACAAGCAGACATTTTCCAGAATAAATATAATCTAGAGCAAGCCCACATTGGGGGCTCGATCGACAGTTTACTTTCTGTATATTCACATCGCATGATTCATTTCCCTGTTGACCTTCGCTAACACAACACTGACCTCAGGCATTTCACTGAAGTGTAGGATCTAGTATTGACGAAATAATGATATTAGGTAGTGTGTTATGATTAAAAGATAATATACTTGATTGAAAGTTAATGACGTCATTCCATACAAACACCCTTAAAGATGATTGAAAGCCAAAGAAACCATACAAATTTATCACTTGAATCTCGGAAACTCTTGTGTGTTATGTTAACTTTATCAAAATGTCAGTGATAAACGTATAGCTGAAGTAATGACAATAAATTATACTTAAAGACCATTTATGATTTTTATTGAAATTCATCCAGGAAATTAAGCATTATGATATCAAAAATGAGATTGAATATTGAAGACAAAATGTAGCCTTTTTAGTGTTTTTGTCAGTTATTCTGAATATACACATACAAACTGATAAAAAAAGACAAAGATTTGATATAAACCGTACATGTTTATAAAATGAGAAAGTTTTTATACTGTATCTTTGGAATATCTCTCTTCAACAGATCTGAAGGATTCCACCTCTGTAGGGAAAATCTTTTATGCTAAAATCAGCGTAATTAGAATGCTTTTATATTGCTATGAAGTCAACTGTAGATTTGTTCATGTGATACAATCTTTTAACCTCTAAGGAAAAACTCACACAACAGGGTTGTATTTGCAATAAGTTTGGAACTAATTTTATGCTGTCCAGTTGTGGGGAAATTTCTATTTTTGACTAGGAACTTGTGGGATTTGCGATGAGTTAGTCTTAGTTAAATAGGTAGACATGTTGTGTATGAAATGTTTAAAAGACTATGACATGATAATCTTGTTCAAAAGTCGACCAGTTTGTGTATCTATCCAGTAAAAACCGACCTATAGTAAGGTATTACCAAGTTTGATTGAGGTATCAACATCTAAAGCTATTTTAAATGAATACGGATTGGAATTTAAATCTTGTATGTCCACATATATGTCAATTAGCATAAGTTCCTACAAACAGACCTATGATCAAACTAATATTGACACAAACCGTTAATACCCTTTCTCTATCGATGTCTGACTGATAATGAATTCTATCAACAGTATAGTCTTTACTTATCAGAAAAAACTAATCCCTGTCAACTTTTACAGGTAAAGTATACCTGTCCAGACATTGTACACCTCTAAATTTGTACAAATCCTGTTTATGTGTGAACTTGTACATGTGAAGCATACAATGTATACCCATAGACTTGTAGATATTGTGTATACCTGTAGACTTGTACAGGTGATAAATACCTGTAGGCTTGTACAGGTGATAAATACCTGTAGGCTTGTATAGGTGATAAATACCTGTAGACTTGTACAGGTGATAAATACCTGTAGGATTGTATAGGTGATAAATACCTGTAGACTTGTAGAGATTGGGTATACCTGTAGACTTGTACAGGTGATAAATACCTGTAGGCTTGTACAGGTGATAAATACCTGTAGACTTGTAGAGATTGGGTATACCTGTAGACTTGTACAGGTGATAAATACCTGTAGGCTTGTACAGGTGATAAATACCTGTAGGCTTGTACAGGTGATAAATACCTGTAGGCTTGTACAGGTGATAAATACCTGTAGGCTTGTATAGGTGATAAATACCTGTAGACTTGTATAGGTGATAAATACCTGTAGACTTGTACAGGTGATAAATACCTGTAGAATTGTATAGATTGGGTATACCTGTAGACTTGTACAGGTGATAAATACCTGTAGACTTGCACAGGTGATAAATACCTGTAGACTTGTACAGGTGATAAATACCTGTAGGCTTGTATAGGTGATAAATACCTGTAGACTTGTACAGGTGATAAATACCTGTAGGCTTGTATAGGTGATAAATACCTGTAGACTTGTACAGGTGATAAATACCTGTAGGCTTGTATAGGTGATAAATACCTGTAGGCTTGTACAGGTGATAAATACCTGTAGGCTTGTATAGGTGATAAATACCTGTAGACTTGTATAGGTGATAAATACCTGTAGACTTGTACAGGTGATAAATACCTGTAGAATTGTATAGATTGGGTATACCTGTAGACTTGTACAGGTGATAAATACCTGTAGACTTGCACAGGTGATAAATACCTGTAGACTTGTACAGGTGATAAATACCTGTAGGCTTGTATAGGTGATAAATACCTGTAGACTTGTACAGGTGATAAATACCTGTAGGCTTGTATAGGTGATAAATACCTGTAGACTTGTACAGGTGATAAATACCTGTAGGCTTGTATAGGTGATAAATACCTGTAGGCTTGTACAGGTGATAAATACCTGTAGGCTTGTATAGGTGATAAATACCTGTAGGCTTGTATAGGTGATAAATACCTGTAGGCTTGTATAGGTGATAAATACCTGTAGACTTGTACAGGTGATAGATACCTGTAGACTTGTAGAGATGGGGTAAATCTGTAGACTTGTATAAGGGATGTATACCTTTAAACATGTACAGGTGATATTCATTTGCAGACTTGCACAGTTGCTGTAAAGTTCTACAGATAAAGGTTATTTATTGCAGTGTATTTTTCTTCCTGTTTTGACATAGCATTAGGTACATTTTGGGTAACTTTTACATCATTCTAATTGTAATGGATCATTTTGTAATTGTAGGGACGGAGAAGGCTTAATTATGATTTGATTTAAGGTTGAAAGGCTGTAGAGTGGTTCAGTGTTGAAGCTTCAATTTGAGATAAGTGAAATATGTCGGTTGGATTTGTTGGGCATCAGAAAACGGTTCCTAGTAATAAAAATTTTGTAGAGGTCTAATAATACAAGGTATATGAATTATTCTGAAATGCAAATACGGGATTTGATTATAGGTTTGTCAGAATACATTAAGGTTTAAGATACATATATTTCTATTAGTATTCATATAAAACATGTTGCCAACCGATAAAGTATACAGCTCCTGTTTTGTTTGTTTGTTTGTTTGTTTGCTGGTCTCATAAACTACAAAAACTCCAGTGATTTTGTTTGTTAGTCTGGAATGTCAAGAAAGAACTGAAGTCTAACGCGTGATAAACTTAGGAAAACATTTA